AACATGGAACTGTTAAAGGTCGCAGCATTAGGAGGGTTTGAGAAATCATTGCTCTGTAGGTTCAAGAAGTGCTGGCCTCAAATTTACTGTGCCGTCTGCTAGTATGAAACACATTCCTCTTGCCTCGGCCGCCTGCATTCTGGGCTACAGGTGTGGACACCCACAAAGCGTTTAATTTCGATCAATAAAATCTACACTAAGGTAAACAGAATCTTAAACCATGTAAGTCATTCTTTTGGTCATACATTGCTCTCTGTGTGCTCTAGAACATTTGTGTTGGTAAAAAATTCAGTGATCAGCAGGCGGTTCTTGTCTTCAGGTTCCAGCTTCGCACTCTCTTTCCCTGGTTACTGTCACCCCTCACTCCTGGTCTTGGGAAACAGAGATAAAGTTATTAAAGCCCCCTTTTAGTTATTTTTAAATCTGACTAAAGACTGATTAAACTAGGTTTTCTAAGTGAGCAGTTCCTTAACCTTGACTTAGTAAAACATTACAATAGTCTTGGTGGCTGCCCCGCCCCTCCTCTGTAATGCAGGAGCTAACCCAGTGGTTCCCATTAAATGCCAGTGTCCAGAAGTACAGCAGGCCCTGGGCAGGAGGGGCTAGTGAGTGAGAGCCACATCAGGACAAAATTCAAATGCGTGTTAAGACCTACCCCACCTCTGAATATGGCCAATTATTTTTCCTTTGGCCAACCCTTAACTGGTGATCCTCCTGCCTCAGTCTACTGAGTGTTAGGAACACAGGCATATCCTATCAAAAACCTGCTGATATTCCCTTTTTTTGGGGGGGGGGTTTGGTGTTTGTTTTTTGTTGTTTTGAGGCAGGATCTTAGTATATATAATCTTGGAACTTATTTGTAGACCAGGCTGGCCTTGAACTCACAGAGATCCTCCTGCCTCTGCCTCCTAGGTGCTGGCATTAAAGGTCTGCACCACTCTGCCTAGCTTATGTATTCAGTTTTAAGCCTGTGTTTTCTCCTTTGTTCAGATTGGATGGTTTCTACTCTTTAGTTTATAGGTTCTTTCCTCTGCCTTCCGTTTGACTTTTGAGGCTGTATTGATCAGCTTCCTGTTAAACTATAACAACTGAAAAGTTTTGTTTTGGAGTATGATGTTGAGACTCACAGCTTTGGTATGGAATCTGGATAGCGGTAGCTGGTGTATATGGCAGAACAAATTACTTTGTCTAAGAAGCAAAAGAGAAGAGGAAGGTATTGAGGTCTCATAATCTTGTCAGTGGCATGTCCACAGTGACATAAAGTTTCTACTAGGCCCCGTCTTTTTGTTTGTTTGGTTGGTTTTTCGAGACGGGGTTTTTCTGTGTAGTCCTGGCTCTCCTGGAACTCACTCTGCAGACCAGGCTAGCCTCGAACTCTCGAACTCAGAAATCTGCCTGCCTCTGCCTCCCAAGTGCTGGGATTAAAGGCGTGCGCCACCACTGCCCAGCTAGGCCCTGTCTTGTAATTGTCTATAGTGCCTTCCATTTGGGCCACGGGGACCAAGCGTTTTAGGTGGGCAAGATATTAATACCAGAATCACAGCAGAGTCAGTCTGCTGAGCGTCTTATTTTGGTTACGATGTAACTTTTGGGTAACTTTAAAGTCGCTGGTGGTTCTTTGTGTCTTCTGTTTAGACTGCTTTGCTGAGGACTGCTAGGTTTTCATTTGTTTCAAGGTTTATCAAAGCCTTTTTATCTCAGCTCTTAGATATTTTGTCAGGTAATTTTTCTTATCTGTCATCTTTCTTTGGTTGCCTTTTAAAGATTTGGTTTGATAGAGTTCTTGGTATTGCATAGCATTTCATTCTAACAGCCTGTTCGACTCTTCTGTTTAATCCTGGCAGGGAGTACGGGAGAGGCGGTGGGAGCAGGGGCAGAAGTACAGAGGCAGAGAAGGGGGAAGTTCAGAAGCTATGGGGCCCACTAACAACCACAGTTGGGGGGAGTCAGTGCTGTAACCTGACAGAGACAAACGCCACCTGACCTTCCACCCAGCTCACCAGTACATAGCCCTTTCCTCTGGATCTCTGTCCAGGATCAAGCTAGGGTTCCTGCCCCCACCTCTGGATTCTCTGAAATTGGAGTCTTGGGATATGAGACCAGATTCTTTTTGCATGTTTTCCTTGGATTATTTTATTATTTATTATTACTCTGCACATGTGTGTGTGTGTGTGTGTGTGTGGGTGTGTGGTGAGCACTTGTCACAGCACGCATGTGGAGGCCAGGGGGCAGGTTTGTGGAGTAGGTTTCCTCCACCACTGTGTGGGTTTGGGGGATCAAGCCTAGGTCTTCAGCCTGTGTGACATGCTCTTTACCTGCTGAGCCATCTTGCTGGTGCATTCCTTTGGTTCTTCAAATAAAAGCATACAAATTTTAAATTTTAAAATACTTTTTAGATGTATGAGTGTTTGCCTGCATGTGTGTTTGTGTACTTGGTGCTCATGAAGGCTAGAAGGGGACCTCCTTCAGATCCCCCAAAACTGGAGCTACAGACAGTTGTGAGCCACCGTGTGGATTCTGGGACCTGAGCCAGGGCCCTCCGGAAGAGAAGCCATGCTCTACATACACCACGGGGGGTGGGGGTGGGGAGCTGTCTGTCCAGCCCCTTCCTTGGATTATTTTTTTTTTTTTTTTTTTTTTTTTTTTTTGGTTTTTCGAGACAGGGTTTCTCTGTGTAGCCCGGGCTGTCCTGGAACTCACTCTGTAGACCAGGCTGGCCTCGAACTCAGAAATCCTCCTGCCTCTGCCTCCCAAGTGCTGGGATTAAAGGCGTGCGCCACCACCGCCCGGCCCCTTGGATTATTTTAAATCATAATAAGTAAGACTGAAGAAGTAGGCTTGCCTTAGAAAGGAGAGTTTTGCACAACTTTCAGAATTAAGACTTAGTGATTCATTCTGACCAGAAATTCTGAATATGGTTTGTTCTTAATAAAAAATAGTTTTTTTGTTTTTTAAAGTTCATTTATGACTATCCTGTGCTCTCTGATTACAGTGCTGTCTGGAACCCTCCTTCTTTGGGCGCCCTTTGTTTATTTTTAAAAGCTCTCTTGACTCCCATTATTTGATTTATTTCAGAAAGCTTTGGTGTTAGATGTGGCACCCAGGGCCTCGCCAGCACTGGAACCCTGAGCTATCCCCTCAGCTACTACCTAGGATTAGTTAGGGATTCAGTGACTTGTTACTCATGTGGTATTTTAGTGATGCACTTCTGAGTGGTGCAGGGTTATTTTAGGAAAACAATGCTTACCCCAAACCCCAAACCCCAAACGTGCATCAGCAGTTATTATAGTTTAGGAAGTGGCAGGGGCATTGTCTGTGGAGGGAGAGAAAAGAAACAGAAAGTATGTTTTTGTAGACTCAATTTCTTTAAAACATGCTATGGTTTTAGATGTTTTTTTCACCCAAATGTTACACAGGGAGTGGAAATGCAAATTGTCTTCTGCTCACGGACACTGTGTGGCTGTTTGCTGTGTGTGTGTGTGTGTGTGTGTGTGTGTGTGTGTGTGTGTGTGTAAACAAGCAGGCGGACTTCCATATGTCTTGTTTCCCTTTTGGTAAGACCAAAACCCCCAAAGGCTGCATTGTTCAGATGAACCAGGCTGAGGAAACAGTGCTCTTGGCCGCCATTGTGAATGACCACCGCCGTGCAGGACTGGCTGAAGTGATCAGAGTGAAGACTAGCTCAAGTGTGTTTCTCCTGAGACAGGGTGGGATGGCTGAGGCTGCCCTCCAACTTGCTCTGTGGCAGAAGATAACTTTGACTTCCTGATCCTCCTGCCTCTGCCTCTCAAGTGCTGGGCTTGCAGGTGTGTGGCACCACACCCTTCTCCCCGAATCCCTTTGAATCTTGAGGGGTGCCTGATAAAATTAAAGATTTGTCTGGCTTGAACTTCTGAAGGTTCCTCCTCATTCATCCTTGTGCTCAGGGCAGTTAACTGCTTCATTCAAGGAGGAGTAAAAGAAGCGCATGCAAGTGTCTGATTATTTTCTTGCTCCATGAAGTAACATGGGTGTAGGCTATTTATCATGTATTTTGTTGGTTGGTTGGTTTCTTTTCAGACAAGGTTTCTCTGTGTAGCCTTGGCTGTCCTGGAACTCACTGTAGATCAGGCTGATCTTGAACTCAGAGATCTGTCTGCCTCTGCTTCTTGAGTGCCAGGATAAAGGCATGTACCACCACTGCAGGGCTCTACCACCTTTGATGATTGGCAGTTATTTAACTCATTGAAGACATACATCTATAAATTTCCTGGTTTTATGTTGCTTTGTAAAAAAATACTGTTTCCAGGCAGTGGTGGTACACACCCATTCGGCACTTGGCAAACAAGGCAGTCTGACCAAACCCAGACCGAGGACTAAATTGGAGGCCAGCTTAGTCTACAGAGCAAGTTCCAGGACAGCCAGAACTACACAGAGAAACCCTGCATTTAAAAAGGAGGAAGAAAAATCAGGAGGAAGAAGAAGAGGAGGAGGAGGAAGAGAAGAGGAAAGAATACTGTCAGACCCATGGCAGACCTTGCCTAAATCATATGTATGTGCCCTTGGATATGGTGTGCTTCTCAACGTAGCAGCCTGTGTTAGTTAATTTTCTATTTTGCTGTGATAAAAATCATGACCAAGATAGCTGGGTGGTGGTGGCGCACGCCTTTAATCCCAGCACTTGGGAGGCAGAGGCAGGCGGATTTCTGAGTTCTAGGCTAGCCTGGTCTACAGAGTGAGTTCCAGGACAGCCAGGACTACACAGAGAAACCCTGTCTCGAAAAAACAAACAAACAAAAGATAAGTAAAATGAAATTTTCATCACTCTGGTAGGATCCTCGTTTTAAGCAGTCATTAGCCAGCTGTCACTGCTGGCTGCCACGTTGGAAAGTTGTAATAGAGAGGCACACAAGAGACCAACATAACTGCCACTCCTAATATTCTGGTTGGAATTCATCAGCAGCTCTGCTGCTTGCGTGTCATCACTTTGACCTTGTCTTTAATGTTTGCTTTGTCTCCAGGCCGGCAGTGATGGCGAAAGCATAGGAAACTGCCCCTTCTCACAGAGGCTCTTCATGATCCTTTGGCTCAAAGGAGTTGTGTTCAGTGTCACAACCGTTGACCTGAAAAGGTAAGGCTTGGCTGTGCTGTGGAGTCGGCTCCCGAGAGTTAAGTTTACCTTCAGCTTGGATCCTTTCCTGCCCTTGGCTTTGCTTGCACATGAAGGAAACATTCAAGTTCTCTGTTTAAGGTTTAACTTGTGTAAACATTAGTGTCGATTTACACTGTCATCTTCAAGTCCTAGCTTTTCTATTGGTGTGTTTGCCATGCTAGGCAACATGTGGCTGGGTCTTCCTTGGAATCCGTTAACCTTAAATCTCTGAGCAGCCCCTGAGCCAAGGTTTAGTGTGGAAACAGCGAAACCTTGAGTTTCTCATGTAAACATGAGCCATCCAGAGCTTTGCCTTCTGGCCCACACATTCCTAGTTTCGTGTGTAATTGTGACCAGTAGCATTTGGATCTTGGGGCAGGGGTCTGAGGGGCTGTCATAGCTTACAGGTAGAGTGCTCGCCCGGCTAGCGCACACAGAGACGGGGGTCTAGTTGCAGTTTGAGGTGGAGAAGGCAAGAATAGGAGTTTTAGAGAGCTGAATAATGTGGTTTGTGTCATTTAGCCTATTTTTCAGGGAATAGCATATTTTCTGTGATATTTAAGCACTTGTGGTATAAAATGAGAAGTCTCGCTAGTTGAAGATGTCGTGTCTCGGTTCTCTCTGAAGGCTAAGGGAGGCTAATAAGTTCTGACAAGCAGGAAGCGCCCCACTCCCTCAAGAACTTCGGGGTTTTGTTTGTTTGTTTGTTTGTTTTGTTTTTGTTTTTTAGCCAAAATCTCTGAAGAGCACTTATATTACCATAGTCCCCAAAGGCAAATCTCAGTAGCTCTCTGGCCAGCCAACCTAGCTAAAATGGTGAGCTCCAGGTACAGTAAGAGAGCCTGTTCCTGAGGCTGCAGAGTTGGACTTCCTGAGGACCCAAGGTTTAATTCCTAGCATCTTCATGGCAGCATACAGCCATCTGAAACTCTAGATCAGACACCCTCTTCTGGCCTCTGGGGAGCACCAAACATGCAAATGGTACACAAATATACATGTAGGCAACACACACACACACACACACACTAAAATTTTTAAAATTTGTATCAATGGAAACTCAAGGATCTGACTGTGGAACTGTCATGTTTGTGAATATAATGTAATATAAAAATGTTCCCTTTTTTGGTGGTGTGTATTGACTGCAGGGTCTCATGTGTGCTAGGTTAACACTGAGCCATCTCCATAGCCCCGTAGGGTTCCCCACAGCGATAAAGAAATGCTGTGGCTTTGTGCACTAATTACTTTTTAGACATATGAAGTTGTTGGTAGTGTCTAGGGAAAACTGTTGTCAGGCTGCTGGTTGACGGTGGCAGAACTGATGGCCATTCATCCTGAGAGTTGGCACCCGCTTAGGTGAGCAGCCTGTGGATCTCCGCGCTTTATCATTTTTTTTTTTTACCTTTGTTTCCCCTTTCACGACAGGGTTTTTCTGTGTAGCCCTGACTATCTTGGAATTCTCTCTGTAGCCTAAGCTGGACTCAGAGATCCACCCACCTCTGTCCCCCGAGTGCTGGGATTACAGTAAAGCCTGCACTAGCATCACCTGGCTTCTTTTTTCACTTCTTTGGAAAAGTGTCGATTTCAAAGTGTATTTGTTAGCTGGGTGCAGTGGTGCATCTTTGGGAAACAGGCAGGAGCATTGTTGTGTACTCAAGGCTGGCCTGAGCTATAACGTGTGACTCTGTTTTAAAGGGGGTGGGTATATTTGTTGAAAATAACCATGCAATCTTTCAGGAACCCCTTTGGAGACAGTATATGAACTTAGAAAATGAGCCTTTGATATCAGTAAGAGTTAAGATGACTACCGGCTCCTGGGAAGGCATTAGTCTGTTCATGTTGGACAGAGCTATTTTAAGAAAGAAATAAGTCATGCAGTAATCCTTCTATTACTTTTATTTTCCTACATATATTCAAAAAGGAAGTTTCTGAGTATAATTCCTAAAAATAGACCATACACCAGACATACACACCCTTACTATGTCTAAACTACATAGTGTTTTCCTATTCAGTTTTGGCGTGGAACAAATGAGCTGACTGCCATGCTTTGGAGAGCTTTCTTTGACCAGTTGAGTACAGTGCCTGATTGTATGACGGACCAGGAACTGAGTCTGGGGGGATGGAGCAAGTGCGTCAGGGCCACGACATGGTCATCTACTTGTCGTGCACAGGCTTTGTGAGGCATTATTGCGGCAAGCGATTGACAGTTGGCGGTTGGTAGATTTGAGAGGATTGTGCTTCATATGCAAGTAGTGGTAGTTGGGAAGTAGGTATTTCAGTCTTACAGCCAGAAAATACCAAGGATGCTACATGTTCTCTGCTATCGATTTGGTACATTTTCTAGGGCTACGTATCAAATCGATAGATAGCAGAGAACACCGGAAAGTTAGGGCCTGAGATTGTTTTGGTTTCTCTAGAAACCTTAGGTCTCTGGTACATCTAAAATACATTTTGTGTCCTAGAGACAAGGTTTGCAATATGCCCAGGTGGCAATCCTCCTGTCCTGCTCTCCTCCCAGGTACAGCTATTACAGGTGTTTGATACTACACTCAGCTTAAATTTTAGGAAGATAAAACCAAGGTGCTCAAGGCTCCCTCCCCCTTCAGCCAGGTCACTAGTATTGTCATGGAGATCATTGTTTTTAGGTGTGGTCTGTGGTCTTCTTCCTTGCAGACCTTCCCCATGTGCTTACAGAGTTTTGAACATTTTTAAAAGGAAAGTAATCCAAGAGAGTGAGCATTGGCTCAGAAAACAACATAGAATAAAGTTGCCAGTAAAGAGTGACAGGTACTCCATGGTATGAAGTACCTTCCATAATATACACTTAGTTTGTGATTCTTTTTAGAAATCTGTGGGGGAGAAAATACTTGCTGAGTTTATTTTTCTGCATATCTTGGAAATTGCCCACGTTTGCAGTAAAAGTTCTGATCCCAGAGTATGCCAGCGCAGAGTGACGGCCCCCCAGAGCTTCTGAGAAGCCCACTCTGCCCCCTGAAGTAGTGATTGTCACCTTTCATCCTAAGAGCAGGCAGGGTTGGCTCTGGCACTGTGACATGCCTTCTGAGTCTCAGTCGGTATTAATGACTGTGCTGGCTTATGTGCGCCCTCTGTGAGCCTTCCACCACTCCCACATGCTGGCTTCCAGTGCAGCCTTAATGCTGTAGTGGGCGTTGTTTCCAAGCCTGCTTCTCTCTCATGATGAAGTTGTATTAAAGGCATTTTAGATAGAATGGCACCCAGGCTGCTCTCGATTTCACAATTGCCATCTGAACAAAAGCTGTAGATAAACGTGTATTAGAACTGGCTGACACTGTCACATGTCACTGTGTGGGGGAAGAAGCAGGGTGGCTTAGGAGAGCCCCTCCCCAAGTTCTCTGGACATAAGTTCCTCCAGAGACCTGGGGTCAGTAGCCTCATCTTCCTGAGGTCAGTTATTCATACAAGATAGGACAAAGTGGAGGCTAACCTTCAATACCAGCTCTGTGGGTATACCTTTTTGTTCCAGTGTTCAGGGTACTTTCATCTATTTTCAGACCATTTTTAACCTCTTTGAATAGAGTTGATTGGTTTACAGCTGTGTAGGTGACAGGCTCATGACCATAACCAGGGTCTTAATTTTAAGACTTGAACTGTGTTCATTTTGCCCAACAGTTCCTAAGCCAGAGACCAGCATCTCTACTGTCCTCTTACATCTTAGTCAAACCTACCAGGACTCTTGGGATTAATGGTAAGAAGGGGAAAGCAGGGAGTGTAAGCAGGCCTTACACTTGCTAAGTGACCTTAGCAAGGGGGCCTGTGACAGAAGCAGGAGGATCTCATTTGAATTCCAGGCCAGCCAGGGACGAATAGTGAGATTTTGTCTCAAAAGATAAAAACAAAGTAAAGTCTAAGATTAGTGATGTGGGATTGGAGAGATGGCTCAATGGTTAAGAGCATAGGCTGCTCTTCCAGAGGACCTGGGTGATGGCTCAGTGTAGAAAGGAGTTGCTGCGCAAGCAAGCAAGAAGACCGAAGTCCAGATCCCCAGGACTCACGTACCCACGTTCCCAGCGCCTACGTGGAGACCTGATACCCTCTCATAGACATACATGGAGACAAAACATCAGTGCACATAAAATAAATATAAACAAAGTATTTAAAATAAAAGATTAGGAGGCTGGAGAGATGGCTCAGTGGTTAAGAGCACTGGCTGCTCTTCCAGAGGTCCTGAGTTCAATTCCCAGCAACCACATGGTGGCTCACAACCATCTGTGATGAGATCTGGTCACTTCTTCTGGTGTGCAGGCATCCATACTGGTACAGGGAGAACACTGTATATATAATAAATAAACAAATCTTAAAAGTAAATTAGTGATCTGTGGAGAGACAGTCAGAAGGACTTGCTAAGACACTAGCCTCTAGACAGTCGATGACCTCTGGTTTGGAGAAGTGCATAGAAATGATAACTTCAAAGAGCTAATTGTCTGTCTGTCTGTCTGTCTGTCTGTCTGTCTGTCTGTCTGCCATATGCATGTGTGTGCAGCCAGAGGGGAATGTTGGGTGTCCTCTTGAGAATAAGCTCTCTTATTTTATGTGTGTGGGTGTTTTGCCTGCATAATATGTCTGTGCACCACTTGCATGTCTGGTGCCCACAGAGGCTAGAAGAGGGCATTGGACCCCCTAGATCTGGAGTTAACAGATGGCTTGTGGGCTACTATGTGGGTGCTGGGAATTGAACCTGGGCCCTTAGGAAGGGCAGTTCATCTCTGAGAACAAGATTTTACCATTTTGACCAGGCTGGGTCTTGAGATCTGCCTGTTTTCGCCGCCTTGCTGTTGGAGTTACTGTCAAATGTGGCCACCCCAGGGTTTTACCTGAGTTGTAAGGATCTGGACTTCGGTCCTGATGCTTGTCCAGCAACTACACTGAACCGGCTCACCAGCCCTAACATTAGGTTTTTTTTTTTTTTTTTTTTAAATCATAAAAGGCAGTCATGTCTGCCA